CTTGTCATTCTATTATAAGAATTCTGTACACAAAGTTTGTTTATTTTTTTTCTTGAAAGCAGAACTTAACACAAAAGGGGAATTTCTGCTTTATGCTCCCCCCCCCCACCTTCTATTTTTGGCACTAGAAGGGGGGCTATTTGGTTTTACCAGGTATCTATTCCCACTTGGCAGGGTGGATACACTGTCAGTTCTCCTCCACCCCACCCACAACCAGGTCCCATGAGGCTGCAGGATCATTCACAAAGGGCAGCCTGGTTCAGTTATGCACAGTGCAGGCCGGTGGTGAAGGAATTCCAGCTGGCTGCCCACAGTAAACATACCAGTTTCAGGGACCCAAAGATAGTGAAGAACCAGTCCGGGTGAGTACGGCGCTGGACCTCGGACAGGTAAGTGTCCTTTTAGTAACAGACAGCAGATCCAGTATTTGTAGCTGCTGACCATTGTTTTTCTCATACAGGGCACAGAATCACTATAACCAAATGAATAGCGTTTTTCAGCGGTCAGTGTAATGCTGAACTCCAAGAATATAGAAAATATCGCACATTCTGGCTATTGTGTCATCTTTAAAAAAAAAAAAATGTGACTAGTTTTTAAAGCTGGACTCCGGCAATCCGCTAAATACACAGATGATATAAGTGTAAAAGAGCTGTTTTACCTGCCAATGGATCTGTACTTTGGATCATTCAGTTCTGAGATTTACAGTTTATGGCTCTACTACACATCACAGGCCTGTCTGACATCCCGAGTCTTTCTGCTACACTTCGTTAACAGCCTGTGAATGGACAGTGAATGGAGAATCCGCACACTCTGCTCTCCCCTCCTATCAGCAAGCATAATTCACTACAGCACAATCGCTTTGATAGTACAACAGGATTAAAGGGTAAGCTCACCTTTTGGAACATATTGAAGGTTCCACCCGTTTTTAATATGGAACATCCCAGTGCTGTAGCTATTGCCCCTTCCCTGTGACAGCAGTACAGGGAGAAGCTCCCCATACTAGCTGTCAGTTTTTTAAATCAACACAGCCATGTGAGGCTCTGCACACACGGCCGCGCCACTCATTCACAGAGTTCTGTGAATGAATGAACTACAAGTCCTGACAGCCTTTGCAGCTGTCAGCTTGTCGTTCTCAATTAATGACCACAGTGCTGTGGAGCGCCATGGTAATTCATTGATTCTGCCTGTCAATATATCTGCTTGTTCATACATCCCATAGAGGCAAGCGGATATACGGACAGATCTGCTGATCGCTGGTGCAATGGTTTACAGGCTCCTGCAACAAAAAATCATAAGTGCACTTTTTTTTACCTTCACAAAATATGCATTTATTATTTTTTGTCAAAGGGTGAACTTATCCTTTACGGTCGAGAGAGGAGGCCAGAACCAGGATCCAATCAGGATTTACTGCTGCAAATGTGCCAACAGGGGAGGAAAGGCCTCAGGCACACTGGATGTTTCTAACGCTGCTCCTAGCTTTTCTTTTTTTGCCTTTAACCACTTCCTGTCCGGCCCATGTATATAAACAGCAAGACGGGAGCAATGCAGGAGTGGGTGTCCGTTTATAAACGTCCTCCCGCTTCCCTGCCTGTGCGTGCTCCCTGGGAGTGCGCAGCACCGTGATCCAATCACTGTAAGGGACCTCTGTGTGAGGTCCTGATCATGTGATCACTGATTGGCCAATCAGTGACCACATGAACAGTAGTAAACAAGATGTCACTTCTGACATCATTGCTTACTACATGTGAAATCTGTGAATGATCACAGAGGTCACATGGTACAAGGCTATTCACAACAGTACCATGTGACAAGCTGTGACCAATCACTGCGCTCACAGTATTTCTCAATGGCTGCAAGAATGCAGCCAGAGAGAAGGAGAAATGATTGGTTTACAGCCTTTATGGGTGTAAATGCAAAAAAAAAAATCTTCCTCACCCCCCACACGTAGTACAGTGTCACTATGGTGACGCTGTAGTGCTAGGGTGACAGCATGTTAAATAAAATTAAAAATAAAAAAATAATATAATAAAAATAAATGAAAATGTAAAATAATTTGGGTTATTTTTTTTTTTACTAAAAAGATAACTGAATACATTTTGGCCAAGATTTATGAAGAAAGATTATTTACAAAATTTTATTTTTCAAAATCTTTTTCATTTATATAGCAAAAAAAAAAAAAATACAACCAAAAAAAAAGTTTTATCTGTCTCAAAAAAGTGCTAAAAAATTAATATGGGTACAATGTTGCATGACCGTGCAATTGCCATTCAAAGTGTGATAGCGCTGAAAGCTAGCCTGGACAGGAAGGGGGTGAAAGTGTCCGGACTGGAAGTGGTTAAACACCCCTGCATTTTCTCTCTCTCTCTCTCTCTCAAAGGGCATTTAGAAACAGAAAACTCACTGTCAGCGTGTCCAGGAGAAGCAGCGTTTTGGCAGAAAAAAAACACTTAACGCATCTAAACGCATGTCAACACTAGACCCATCAATCGTTTCTGCATTCATTCATTTCAATGACCAGAACAACGTATTATACTAAAAAGTTATTTTTAATTACTTGTGAGCCACTAGAAGGTGCTCACATGTGTTTCTATATGTAATAGATTAGATCGCTGGCTTCCTTGCCCATCCTCACTTGGTGTGCATCAATAGATAGATAGTAGAAGGAGGGGGGAGGGGCAGTGACGTCACCACGCATCCGCACAGAGAAACGGCGAGTATTGACAGTGTGCACAGGCACACCTACAAGGCTGATCTGACCGCTGTCTACAGCGTATTGTACATACAAAAGCGCACCTTTATCTTTTTTTATGTGAGTGTAATACCAGCGCACATTAAAGCCCTGTACCCCAGATAAGACACTATGCATCTCTTCTTTTTTACATGTCCCATTCTAGGAGGATAAGATCAAGCAGCTTGCTGAGTAGGATAAGATCAAGCAGCTTGCTGAGGAAGGAAAGGAATCCGTTTATCATATTGACCCATGGTGCAGTCTATATTGCACACTTTCAATTTGCCACAGAGGAGAGCACATTGCAATCTATTTTATATTACATTTATTGGGAGACTGGTACTACATTGTAGAAAAGTTTTTTCTTATACAGTCTAAGATCACCACTGGGATATCAACGTATTATACTAGCCAATGAAATGAATGACGTCCAAGCGCTTAATGCGCCTAAACACACCTAAACGGGTCTAGACATGTTTACAATGTTTTTGCTGCCAAAACGCTGCCGTCAGGAGCAAAGGCCTCTAGCAGAGATGGCCAAACACCCTGTGTGCTCCAAGTTCTGGGACCAAACCCCGGATTTCATTTCCAATATCATGGGACAACGGGTGCCTAACGACCGTCTTGTGTTGCCATTCAGAAGCTCCACAGTGGGATGACAACAAAACGGTCTTTTGGCGGCCCGCAGTCCCATTGTAAAAGTATGGACCATCTCTTCACCACCAACCATCACCACAGTTAAAGTGACCTCACAAAGCTCCTCTATAGAGGAAAAACTCGATGTGAAAATGCAAAATGGTACCCCCACTAAATGCTTCTTTACCAGATGGAGATCATTTATTGAATTTACCTTTTTGTCATCCGAATTAGCTTCACTAATGGCTTCCTTTCAATATTCCAAGTGGTATTCTAAGGCCCCATGTACACGGGACACTTCTGAACGATGGAAACTGACTGCTGGAAAACGTAGCTTACAAAACGTCTGTTTAGCCGCGTTTGCATACTGCGTTTTTTCGCATTTATTAGCGTTTGCGTTTAGAAGTATCTTTTAAAGATAAGTTCAGGAGACCTTCCAAAATGCCCAGAATGCACTGAAAAACAGCACAAAATTAACTATTTCAGACATTTTGAGATCAGTAGATCAACTTCTGTTCAATCACAGTACGCATACATGGATCAAAATATGTCCGGTCCCTGCTGAACCCCCTGAATTTTGATCCACGTAGGGCCAGCTTTAGTTTCACTTAGCCTAAATAATGTCTCATTGTTTCAGAATTTGGAGAACAGTTATTTTCACAGGCTACCTTTTCAGAAGCATTTTCAAACATTGCATGAAACTTTCTGATTGGACGAGGTAAAAAATGTGAGGTCACTGCAGGGGCGGACTGACAATTCATTGGGCCCCCGGGCAATAGGGGATCATGGGGCCCCTGTGTCCTGGCCCACACCCAAAAAGCCTATGAAAAAGCCAATGAAAGGTACCAGGGGCATCTCATGGGGCACCCTACTGACCCCGGGCCCTCGGGCATTGCCCGAGTGCTCGAATGGTCAGTCCACCCTGGTCTAGGGTACAATGTCAGGGGTACTCCAGGGCTGGGAGAATACAGAGCACATAGAAGAGTCTATGTGGGTCACTGCCTCCTCATCGTCCAATCTGAACACCTTTTATTTATTGGAAAAAGTAGGCTTTTTTATAATTGGCAGAGGTGCCAAGTGAGTAAATAACAAAATAAAATAAATTTGGGAACTCGGGCACTGCCGAGGGCCCTGGGTCAGTGCCCCATGAGATGCCCCTGGTACTTTTCTCATAGGCTTTTTTGGGTGTGGGTGAGGAAACAGGGGCCCCATGATCCTCTATTGCCTGGGAGCCCCAGAGTTGTCAGTCCACCCCTGCACCCCCCTATCGTCAGTGTGCACAGGGGAAGCCATTTTTCTGCCCAAAAGCTCCTCTCTTGAGCATGCTGGCATTTGTATTTCACTATGTGAATGCTCCGTGTGTGAAAGGACCCATAGGCTAACAGAGGTGCTTTTACAGGCAGGAAAAAAAGTCAAACACTTGTAAAACCAGCATTTTTTTAATCAGTATTAATCACAGTACCCATACATGGATCAAAATATGTCTGGTCCTTGCTGAACCCCCTGAATTTTGATCCATGTAGGGCCAGCATTAGCTTCACTTAAAGAAGAACTAAAGGAATTTTCTTTTTTTTTCATTTTGCATAGCATAACGGAGAGTTATAACCCCTGTCAGATTTTGTGGGGGAATCCCTGCATTTAAAGCAGAGCTCCACCCAAAAGGGGAAGTTCCGCTTTAAGGACTGCTCCCCCGCTCCCCATTAAGGATTGGCACCTTTGGGGGGTGGGGGGGGATTTGACAGGTACCCGCTCCCACTTCCGGTCCGATCGCCTAGGCGACTGGAAGCGAAAGGTGTCCCCTCTCCCTGTAGTCTTTTGGAACACGTGACAAGTCCCAGAAGACTACAGGACCATTCATGAAGTGCAGCGCTACTCGCACATGTGCAGTGGGTACCTTGGTCAGATGGTCTCTGGCAACACCCCTTTGATATGACAGTTAGTTAAGTTCTACGTTTAGGACCTTGGCAGATCTCAGATGAAAAAAGGATTACAATATCTTTGTATATATTTACAGCATGGTCTTGGTCTGGAATTCTTCTTCATTTCCCTTTACTTAAAGTGGAGCTCCACCCAAAAGGGGAAGTTCCACTTTAAGGAATGCTCCCCATTAAGGATTGGTACCTTTGGGGGGCGGGGAGAGCAGGTACCTGAATTTGACAGGTACCTGCTCCCACTTCCGGTCTGATCACCTAGGCGATTGGAAATGGAAGTTGTCCTCCCTCCCTCCCTGTAGTCTTTTGGGACACATGACAGGTCACAGAAGACTACAGGACCATTCATGAAGAGCAGCGCGCTACTCGTGCATGCGCAGTGGGCACCCGGCTGTGAAGCCGCAAGCTATCACAGCCGGGTGCCCACACTGAAGATGCCAGCGCCTGGAATACAGGACAACCGGTGAAACGGGCTGTGGGGGACACACCACGGGACCGAGGGACAGGTAAGTGGCTGTTTTTTTGTAGCTGCTGACTTTTGTTTTTTGACAGGGTGAGTGTAACTCCGCTTTAAGGGAATCCCTCGGGGACCCCAGGTCCCCAGAGCTAGTGCCCCACTGGAAAATTCCCCCTCTATTACTTTTCTGGGGACAACCCAACATTTGGGATTTTCTTTTACTTTCACTTACAATGATAATGGTAAACAGGACAAAATAGAGAGGGTCAATCTCCCTAATGGGGGCAAAGACAGCAATAAAACCTGATAGGTGTGCGATTCCATTTCCACTTTATCCAAAAATAAAATTTTTGCCTTTAGTTATACTCTACGTACTTCACAAAGATCCAAACCTATAATCTGCTCCAGTCCATAAAGGTACCAGAGCTGAAGCAGTTAAGTACGGCTCCAATGATGTCAAAATCTGATGGTTAATTGGTTAATGTATCAATTATAAAGCTCAGCATACAAACAAATCGTATAAAGTGAGCGTTCTGTTACGGAATGATACTGGATAATAGAGGGGACGATTGTGATGGTCTTATGACTAGAGACAAAAGCAGCTTTCAGCACACTAATGGGCTAACATATATAATACAGAGTGCGCCGTGCAAGTACGAGATTAGTTTTGCCTGGCCTTCCAGTAAACACGAGAAGGAAAACAACAGCCGACGTAGCACCAAGTAAAGGGTAAATCTAAGGTCTACAGGGGCTTGTGACCTTAGACACTCATATGCAAAGATTGTGAAAAGTTTGGTGAACAAAATCCAACAACAGTTTCATCAGGGGTCCCTGAGGCCCTCTAAAAGTCCACTATCTAAGATCACGGCCATATATTTTCAATCAACTGGTAAAAGCGATGATAAAAACATACATGAGTTTTCCAGGCTCTTGAATAAGGCTCCATTATTCTTTATTATTATAATACAGGATTTATATAGCGCAACAGTTTGCTCAGCGCTTTACAATATAAAGGGAGACAATACAGCAACAGTACAGTTCAATACAAGAGGGTTAGGATGGCCTGATCCTGGGAGCTTACAATCTAAGAATCCATGCACACTAGCATTTTTTAGCTCAAAAAACATTGGGAAAAAAGCTGGATAAAAATGCTGGTAATTCTGTTTTTCAGTAGTGTATTAGTTGTATTTAAAAGTGTTTTTTTTTTATTTGCGATTTACAGTACATGGAGAAAAAAAAGCTAAAAAAAAAAAAAAAAAACTCTTATGAGCGTTTAGAATTTTTTTCTAACATGCAGATTTTAACATGTGTGCAAAAAAATTAAAAAACTGCCCCGTAGACAAGTGGTTAAGGTACAACTAAGGTCTCCTGCCTTTACACTAAACCAGGGGTCTCCAAATTCCCAAAGTTTACTGGCTTTCAGACTTTGGCCATTGGGAGTAGAAATTGTCCTGCGTCATTTGGAGTGAACAATGCATCTTCGGCATTAGGGGAGGAATAGCACCCTATTCTTGGTGTAAGTTGGAGAAATAGTGCCCCATAGTTGGTGTCAGTGGGAAGACTAGTGCCCCGTTGCTGGGTGTCAGTGGGAGGAATAGTGTCCCATGGTTTGCTTCAGTGGGAGGAATAGTGTCCCATGGTTTGCTTCAGTGAGAGGAATAGTGCCCAATTGTTAGTGTGAATGGGAGGAATAGTGCCCCATCGCTGGTGTCAATGGGAGGAATAGTGCCCCATCGCTGGTGTCAATGGGAGGAATAGTGACTATTGTTGATGTCAGTAGCAGGAATTATGCCCCCTTGTTGGTGTCAGTGGGAGGAATAATGTCTTGTATCAGTGGGAGAAAAAGTGCCCCAAGGGCCAGATAAGGGCAAGCAAAGGGCCGCATCCGGACCCCGGGCCATAGCTTTGAGACCACTGGTCTAAACCCATCCCAAATGTAGTTACTCTGATGTACAAGCCTGAGAAAAAAACAAACAAAAAAAAAAATTCCTTTACCTTCCCTAATGAAAAAATGCTAAAAAACTCACGTTTTGTAACATGACTTTACACAACTAACGTTACCAGCGTTATCAAAACGTCCCGTGTGCATGAGGACTAAAGCTTGCCGGACAGCTCAGAAAATGGGGGTGGAGAGCTGAAGTTGCACTCTGCAGAGCTCAGTGAGAAAAGCTCTGAGAGCTGATTGGAGGGAAGGGACACACCCCCTTCACACAGCACACAGGAACAAAGCTGTCAATCACAGGCTGTGTGCTGGGGGTCCCTCCCTTGTCACCTTTTTTTCTTGGTGTCAGGAAAACCTGTCAGAAGCGATTCATGCAGATAACAGAGGAACAAGACAGCAGAGGGAAATGACACTTAGTTCTCTGGACTGAGACAAGTACACACTATAGAGGGATATGCGTTGTTCAAATTTCATGTCTGAGGTTTACAACCACTTTAAAGGAGAAGTACAGTCAAAGTTCTTCTGGCTGTACTTCTGTGGATCGCAGGAGTGCAGTCCGTTCTGCACTCCTGTGACCCATTTTCAGCTGACAGTCGGCTGAAGAGGGGCAGAGCAGACAGTGGTGATTGACAGTCACTGCTTTCTACTCAGAGCGGCTTTGAGAACTCAGCAATCAGCGGGTATGTGATCGCTGAGTTCTTACACTTAGAGCTGGTAGGGGACCAATGCTGCATCTATCTAGGTAACTATAACTGGGCAAAAGACAACAACAATAAAAAAACAAAAACAAACCCTACTTCTCTTTTAAGGTACCCAACTCCTTCTCAGCATTATGCTTAGAAACAGTCCACACAGTAAAAGTAGCAGTCCACCTAAAAATCTATATTTCAGTTACTGATGAAAGATGGTGGCATGAATCATTCTATTATATCTTGGGGTCTCCAGTAGTTATGATAGTCCCAGCCCTGGAATTCTCAACTCTGCCCTATGCTAATAGAGAGTCCATCATCTCCTTCTTCCTTTATAATCCTTGAATATCAAAAGAAATAAAAATCAGATACCCCCTCAGATACCTCTATGTACATTTCAGCATTGTCTTGAGCACCTAGGTATCTAAAAGAGTCACCTAACCCCTCCCAAACCCCAATACTGGTCACTGAAGTTGACCATCACGTCTAAAGCCGGCCATTAATAGATGGATCTTGGCCAGTTCAGCAGAGACCAGCCAAGATTCTATCCATCTATGGGCAGGCTAGTTGTACTGAAGTTGGTCCATTGATCGACTTCAGTAGAACCAGCCTGTCTGGACTTTTTTTTCATGTGGTCACTGCTGGTGGCTATATCCACCATCAGTGATCGTTTTGTTCTGCCAGCAAGAAATGTTTCCTGCTGGTAGAACACAATAGTGCTGCGGGAGGGATTTCCCCATCAACACTGACTGTGTTGATGGGGGAACGGAGCCATTTTCCACCACCTGTAGTGGAAGGAAAGACAATTGCATATTGTATGAGCTGCCAAAAGGAATAACGGTGGCAACTGTTGACTTCCCTTCCTCAAGTTGACACATGCGTGCCAGGATTCAAGGCACTTCAGAAATTCTGTAGGAACATAAGTGTACCGGTCTCATTTCTGCTGCCACCTGTTTAATAAAAGGAAAAATACTAAACGTAACGACATTGCAAAATGACTGAATTAACAAAAAAGAGTTGAAGAAGCTGCAGGTAAACCGTTAATAGAGGTCCATAAATAATAAATAGCTGTCATCCAGATGGCCATGTTTGAGAGACAGCACTTGAGGTTTGAGTTCCACAATGAGGTTTTTATTTCTAAAAAAGAAAACGAACGTTCTGGTCGTTGCCGTTTAGTAAGTGAATTTTCGTCAGCAATCACAAGATGAAAATTAGTTAGGGAGCTTAATATGGAATAATTCAATGTTCTGGCAGACAGAACAGGCGGCCTCTGATAGACCTGTCAATCTGTATCCTGTACAATGCAGAAGTCTGTCTCTGAATGGAGGTAATTAGGCATATGTTATATGGAAATTGTTCTGACAAAGGCATCAAGAGTAAGAAAAAGTCTGCGATGCTTCATTGTTCTGTACAGAAATGATCAGCTGATGAACAATGCTTGAGAAGAATGCAGATTTGCTAAATAACATCTCAATTAAAATTTAAGTAAGAAGTTTGCTGTGGACAATTTATTGTCACAAGTCCACAACAAGACAGGATTGATGTCATAGCCTTGTGTTGGAGTATTCTGGGAAGTCCAATGATTTCATAAGAAATATAATAAACCACTAGAAACCAACTGACTGCAGCCCATGTATAGTTCCTCAACTCCCACAGATTCCATGAAATCATCAGGACATCATTGACCACACCCTTTCATTATTTCGAAGATGGCAAGTAGAAACAGCATCAGAGCAGATACATTTTATTTCCAGGGAATGTATCGAAAGAACTGTGTAAATGTAAGTGTAAGGGCTCATTCACATGGCCGATTACCTCTGTGTGCCGTGCAGGAGCATGCTCTGCAAACACAGGAATACACAGATGTTCCATGCACGCCCACACCTGCAGACCTAAACAGGCCTATTGTGACACACAGCTGCATGGACATCTGCACAGGTGAGTGTCCCTGAACTCACCCTGTGTTTTGCGTGTCCCAATAGATATCTATGGTTCTGTCAGCATAGGTAGGCAGAACACGCTCCTGCATGGCACGCAGAGGTAAATCGGCCTAATATGTATTAACCACTTTCAATCCTAGCCAATTCTGACATTCGTCTCCTACACGTAAAAACATCTTTTTTTTTTTTCTACTTAGAAACCGCAATAATTTCTTTTAAGCAGAGGCCTAAAGAATAAAATGGTGGGCTTTGCAATTTTTTACATCATACAGTATTTGAGCAGAGTTTTTTTAAAAAAAAAACAAAAACAATTGAATGAATTTTAATGGATAAAAACAATATATCATTCCGGGGATCATTCCCCCTGATTAAGCCACATGACCGGTGGCGTAACGCGTAGGGGAGGGGCTTTGATGTCACGACACTCAATGGTTCCATACTGACACCAGCTGGTACACATAGG